AATATAAGCAATACATAAAACTCGATAGCAAAAAAAAAAAAAAAAATCAATTAAAAAGGGCAAAAGTCCTACACAGACATTTTCCCCAGATATTCAAATGGCCAACAGGTATATGAAAAGGTGCTCAACATCACTAATGATTGGGGAAATGCACACTCAAACCACAATGAGAGGTCATCTCTTGCCTTGAAGGATTCATCATGGAAGACAAGAGGCCAACGTTGGTGAGAACGTGGAGAATGAGAACCGCTGTGCACAGTTGGTGGGAATGCACACTGGTGCAGCTTCTAAGGAAAACAGTATGGAGATTCCTCAAAGAATTAAAAATAGAACTACCATATGATCTACTATGTTCACTTCTGGGTCTACATCCAAAGGAAATGATGTCACCTTCCCAAGGGGTATGTGCACCCCTGTGTTTACTGCAGCATATTTACAATAGTCACGTCATGGAAACAATCTACGTGTCCAACAATGAATGAAGAAAATGTGATATATATATACATAATATACATACTCACGCACACATACAATGGGATACTATTCCGCCATAAAAATGAAGGATTTGTGACAACGTGGATGAACCTTGAGGGAATTATGCTAAGTGAAATAAATGAGACAGAAAAAGACAAATACTGTGTGATCTCACTTCTAGGTGGAATCTAAAAAACTAAACTCATAGAAACAGACCAGATGAGGTTGCCAGACATGGGGGTGGGGTTGGAGGGTCTGGGTTACAATCTTTCAATTTGTAACTTGTAAGAAATGAGTTCTAGTAATACTGCTTCATATACTTGAAAGTCGCTAAGAAAGAAGATCTTAAAAGTTCTTATCACAAGGAAAAAGTATGTTTTATAACTGTGAAGTGATGGACATTAGTGAACTTGACTGTGGTGATCATTTCACAATTGATACATGTATCCAATCATCATGGACACCTCACACTGATACAATGTTACATGTCAATTAGATCTCAGTGTAACTGGAAAGTAATTTAAAAATCTTTTGCTGCCTATCTTTACTCACAATAGTTCATGGCTTCATTTAACAATAGTTGTCATAAAAGGATAAATACTTCATGATTCTAGTCTGAGGTCCCCACAGCAGTCAAATTCACAGACACAGAAAGCAGAAAGGTAGTTGTCAGGGGCTGGGGTGGGGGGAGGGGACAGGCAGCTAGGGTTTCATGCCCCAGAGTTTCAGTTGCGCAAGATGGGGCAGTTTTGAAGATGATGGCATCGAAAGGGACAAAGCAGACGTGCTCAACTATGCTGACCTGTACTCTTAGAAATAGTGAAAATGACAAATGTTGTTTATTTCAGCACAATTTTTAAAAAATTTAAAAAAATTACTTATTGAGTGGCTACTAGATATCAGGCAGTGTGCTACGTGCTGGGGACAAAGCTGTGACTCAAAGGACAAACATTTACTGCTCTTGAGAGACTTACATTGTGGCAAGGCTGCTGTTAGTCAAACTTCTTGCTAATCTAGAGCAGAAACAAATGACATAGAAACTGAACAAACAATAGAACAGATCAACAGGGGCGCCTGGGTGGCGCAGTCGGTTGAGCGTCCGACTTCAGCCAGGTCACGATCTCGCGGTCTGTGAGTTCGAGCCCCGCGTCAGGCTCTGGGCTGATGGCTCAGAGCCTGGAGCCTGTTTCCGATTCTGTGTCTCCCTCTCTCTCTGCCCCTCCCCCGTTCATGCTCTGTCTCTCTCTATCAAAAAAAAAATAAAATTTTAAAAAAAAAAAAAAAAAAAAAAAGAACAGATCAACAAACCAGGAGCTGGTTCTTTGAAGAGATCAACAAAATTGATAAACCTCTAGCCAGACTCATCCAAAAAAGAGAGGTGGGGGGGGGGGGAAAGGCCCATGGTGGAGGTGGGGGGTGGGGAGGAAGGGAGGACTCAAATAAACACATTCATAAGTGAAAGAAAAGAAATAACAATCAACACCACACATATACAATTATGTGAAATTATTATGAAAAATTCTATGCCAACAAACTGGACAATGTAGAGAAATGGATAAATGCCTAGAAACATATATTCTACTAAAACAGAATTAGGAAGAGATAGAAAATCGGAACGGACTGATTACCAGCAGTGAAATTGAGTCAGTAATCAAGAAACTGCCAACAAGCAAAATCCCAGGACGAGACGGCTCCACAGATGAATTCTACCATTCTCAAACTACTCCAAAAAAAAAAAAAAAAAAAAAAGGAAGAAGAATTTCCAAATTCATTCTACGAAGCCCACATTATCCTGATAACAAAACCAGATAAAGACACCACAAAAAAAGAGAACTACAGGCCAGTGCCTCTGATGAACATAAAGGCAAAATTCCTCAACAAAATACCAGCAAACGGAATCCAACAATACATTAAAAACGTCATTCACCACAATCAAGTGGGATTTGTTCCCGGGGTGCAAGGGTGGTTTAATATTTGCAAATCAATGTGATACATCACATCAGTGGAAGAAAGGGATAAAAACCATATGATCATTTTAATAAATGCAGGAAAAGCAGTTGACAAGGTACAACGTTCATTTATGGCAAAAAAAGCTACAAAAAAAATTAACAAAGTAGGTTTAAAGGGAAGGTACCTCAACATAGTAAAGGTGTCACGTGAAAAACTCATAGCAAACATCATACTCAATGGGGAAAAACTGAGAGCTCTTCCCTTAAGGTCAGAAACAGGACAAGGATGTCCACTGTCACCACATTTATTCAACATAACATTCGAAGTCCTAGCCACAGCAAGCAGACAGTGGAAAGAAGTAAAAGGCATTAAAATTGGTACGGAAGAAGTAAAGTTTTCACTGTTTGCAGATGACCTGATTCTACATGTAGAAAACCCTGAAAATGCCACCAAAAAACGATTAGAACTGATAAATGGTTCAGGACACAAAATCAATGTGCAGAAATCTGTTGCCTTTCTATGCACTAATAATGAAGCAGCAGAAAGAGAAATTAAGAAAGCAATCCATTTACAGCTGCACCAAAAACAATAAAATACCTAAGAATAAATGTAACCAAAGACGGGAAAGATGCGCACTCTGAAAACATAAACTGGCGATCAAAGAAGCTAAAGGCAGCACAAAGAAACAGAAAGACATCCCACGCTCAGGGACTAGAAAAACAGACGTTGTTAAAATGTCTACACTCCCCAAAGCAATCCGCAGATTTAATGCAATCCCCCCAAAAGCATCACCAGCAGTGTCCACAGCACTAGAACAAACAATCCTAAACTTTGGAGCCAAGACCCCAAGTAGCTAAGCAATCTTGAGAAAGAAAAACAAAGCTGGAGGTATCACAAGTTATATTACAAAGCCATAGTAATCAAAACAGTACAGCACTGGCATATGCACAGATCAATGCAGACTAGAAAACCCAGAGACAAACCGACAATTTTATAACCAATGAATCTTTGACAAAGGAGGCCAGAATACAGAGTGGGAAAAAGACAGTCTCTTCAACAAATGGCGCTGGGAAAACTGGGCAGCTACGTGCAAAACAATGAAACTGGACTGCTTTCTTACACCACGCACAAAAATAAATTCAAGATGAATTAAAGACCTAAATGCGAGACCTGAAACCATACAAATCCTAGGAGGGAACATAGGTGGTGATTTCTCCGACATTGGCTGTAGCCATATTTTTCTAGATCTGTCTTCTGAGGCAAGGGAAACAAAGCAAAAATAAACTATTGAGACTACGTCAAAATCAAAAGCTTCTGCACAGCACAGGCAACGATCAACAAAACTAAAGACAACCCATGGAATGGGAGAAGACATTTGCAAATAACAGATAAAAGGTTAGTGTCAAAAATATATAAAGAACTTCTATAACTTAACACCCCAAAAAACAAGTAATTCAATCAAAAAAGGGGCAGAAGACATGAACAGACACTTTTCCAAAGACATCCAGATGGCCAACAGACACATGAAAAGATGCTCACCATCATTCATCATCAGGGAAATGCAAATCAAAGCCACAATGAGACCCCACCTCACACCTGTCAGAATGGCTAAAATCAAAACACAAGAAACAACAAGTGTTGGTGAGAATGTGGAGAAAAAGGAACCTTCTTGCACTGCTGATGGGGATGCAAACTGGTGCAGCCAAGTATGGAGTTTCCCCCAAAACTTAAAAATAGAACTACTGTACCATCCAGCAATCACACTACTGGGTATTTACCCCCCAAATACAAAAACACTGATTCAAAGGGATACGTGCACCTCGGTTCATAGCAGCGTTCTCTACAACGGCCAAATTATGGAAGCGGCCCGAGTGTTCACAGACTGATGAATGAAGAAGAAAGATGTGGAGTATGCATACGTACACAGAGCGGTATTATTCGGCCCTAAAAGGAATGAAATCCTGCCTTCTGCAACAGCATGGATGGGGCTAGAGAGTATGATGCTGAAACAGGGAAAGGCAAATAGCATACGATTTCACTCACTCACGTGTGGAATTTAAGAAACGAAACAAATGGGCGAAGGGAAAAAGAGAGGGAGAGACGCAAATCAAGACACAGAGTCTTAACTACAGAGAACAAAGTGGTGGCTGCCACAGGGGAGACTCAGAGTACGCTTGTGACGAACGTGTCACCCTACTATGTCACTCCACTGCACACCTGAAGCCAACACAATGTTGCATGTTAACTACACTGGAATTAAAATGAAAACTTGAATTATTTTTTTTTTTTTGCTGATGTCATTAGTGAGAATGCTACCTTCCTGTTTCAATCCGCATTTTCTCCTTTTTTTTTTTTTTAATGTTTATTTATTTTTTGAGAGTGAGAGAGAGTGTGGGGGGGGGGGCGGAGAGAGAGAGGGAGACACAGAATCCAAAACAGGCTCCAGGCTGCGAGCTGTCAGCACAGAGCCCGACGTGGGGCCCGAACTCACGAACTGTGAGATCATGACCTGAGCCGAAGTCGGACGCTCAACCGACGGAGCCACCCAGGCGCCCCTCAATCTGCATTTCCTTAACTCCCAGTGAGGTTTAGTGTATTTCACATATTCATGGACCATTTGTTTTCTGTGAAGCACCTGTGGTCATCTCCCCATTTTTCTACTGCGTCGTCTGTTTCTTCTTAATTTGTAGCTGCTCGTTGTATTTTGTGGCTCTTACCTCTTTCTCGGTCTATACCTTGCAATGATCTTCTCCAGGTCGACAGCTTTGCTTTGGGCTTCTGTCCCCGTACCCGCCGGCCCCTGCCCCTGGTGATCTGTGCGTCAGCCTTTCCCTCACGGCTTCCACGTCTTTGCTTAGGATGATACTCTCCATCTGAAGATTTAAAAACAAAATTCTCTTACATTGCATCCTGATACTCTGATAGTTTCATGGGTCTTTAATCTCTCCAGAGTTTAATTTTATGTTTGATATGAGGAGAAATTTACTTTTTTTTTTTAAATATGGGGACGAGTTATACTCAAACCACATACTGAATTATCAGCGCATCCTTTCTGCTGATTTAAAGTATCATAGTGACAATTCCTTATTTTCCTTCCACTGACCTTTTTGGGTTTTCCTTCCCAGACACCATTTATTTTAATTTCTGCAGCTTTTTTTTTTTTTGAAATGTATTTTTATTCCCAGAAGGGCAAACCTTCTCTGAGAACCTTTAAAATGTTTTTTCTTGGCTATTTTTGTGCATTTACTCTTCTAAATAACTTCAGAATCAGTGTGATACTACATAGAATTTATAATTTGGAGACTACAGACTTTAAGACACTGAATCTTCCCATTCAGGAACGAAAGAAGTGTCTCCACTTACTCCACCAGAATTTAAGAGCCACTGGGACAAGTGCCCCATAGGACAGGTGGAGAGGGCACTTTGATAACTTGGGAGTTGGCAGACCTTGCTTGGCCAGGGCCAGGGCCAGGGCAGGAAAGAGGAGGTTTGAGGAACAGGAAGGATTCCTTCCAGAAATCCTGTTTTGGTTCACGCGCCAATTCCAAAGCAAGCAGGCCTCTGCAGAGAGCCCTGAGCACCAGCTGACGGAAGGTTCTGGAGCCACGCAGGTGAGTCCACACAGACACTCACCACTCTCCCGTCTTCTCCGAGGGCGGCTCCCCGGTCCCACCGTGACTGCCCCGTGCACACTTGCGGGGAGCTGCTCCCCGCCACCCCCTGGCAGGTGCGGAGGCCTGCTGGCTGCCCGACAGGAGACCACAGCACCTCAGGCACGTGGGTCTACTTTCAAACATGGAGGTGGTGCCTTCTGCCGGGCGTGGTGGCTGCTTCTCGCCGCTTGGGGCCGGAAGGCTGTTCGTGTCGCAACACTCAGAATGCTGAGCTCAGGCAAAGGCACAGCCAAGTTCAAACAGCATATTTCGCCACGAAGGGCTGCACAGGACCTTCCCTTGTGCTGTGAAGTCACATCCGTGTGAACTGGACAGGACTCAGGGTTTGGGGTCACAAGGCCTGGTCAAAATCCAGCTCAAGACCAGAGACCTCAAGAAAAGCCTGCACTCCGACTTCTCATCTCTGAGATGGGAACGGTGTCGCGGACCGCAGAAGCTGCTGCCCAGGAGGAGAAAGAGGCCACGTGAACTGCAAAGCGCTGTACTCACGTGAGGCATCAGAGGGCTCTGGGCTTTCTCTCCGGGGCCATCAGGCAGCCCCGAGCTGCCTGTTTGACAAGGTCTGATCCATGTGGGGAAACTAAGACACAGAGAAGCAAAGAAATTAAATGAAGCGTCTGTATGGGGGAACTTCTAAGCCAAAGGCGGTTTTTTACGGGGGGCGAGAGCATCTCCTGGACATAAGTAAGTTTGTAATGAGGCGGCCGTGGAGCAGCGTATGGAGAGTGGGTGCTGGAAATTGTTAGGAATGACTGGTCTCCGCGACGGTCGTTGGAGGAGCTCAGGGATGAGCGGCCGAGACAGGGAACAGAAATAGAAAATACAACTTGAAAAACACAAATCATTCTTGGACACCGGGAAGCTGATACCATTTGCCCTTCTCCTTCCTCTTCCCCCCCCCCCCCCCCCTCCCCCCCTCCCCCTCCCCCTCCTCCTGCTGCTTCTTCTCCCTTTTCTTCTCCTTCTCCTTCTCCTTCATAAAAGCTAAGGGAGAGCCTGAGAACGTGAAGCCACTGAATCAGACGGTTAGGAACGGAGGAAACGGGAAGGACACTCGGTCCATGAGGCTGAGGTAGCCTGCAGGTCCGGGGACAGTTCTGGAGAGAAAGGGGGCGGCCAGGGGCCGGACCCTACATGGCACCTGCTGTCTGTAGAGGCTCCTGCATGCAGCCTCGCTGGGGTGGGGACTGGAACCAGGCTGCGGGGAGGGCCGTGCTGACAAGCAGAGACTTTTGAAAAGAAATACAAATTGACCAGTCTATATTCAGGTGACACCACCAGCAACAAACGGTCCACACGGAGATGTTTTCCTGGGCCTGCTTTACGGGCCAGACGGCTCATCTGACTACAGGGCTGTTTGTGCAATGCTGACCTGCTGCATCTTCTCGGGACCGTTGGGCCCTCTGCGGCTTGAGCCAAACCTCAGGAAGAGCCCGTTGGGTCTGGCAGGGCCTTGGGAGCCTGGCGGTCGGTGTTTGCACCAGCGACCTCGAGGCTCACTGTGGAACTTGCTCACCATGACCCTGGCACTCTGGCAGGCTCAGAAAATGCCGGAAGGAGGGTATCTTAGGTGTATGCAAGGGTCCCGGCAAGAGCCGCCCACAGTGCAAACCAAGAGGAGGCTGTCCCAGGCCCTGCTTTGCCGCTTTCTTGTAGCGGAACCCATCTGAACCAATCCAGGAGACCAAGCAATCGGTCGGCTTGCCTCGAACACACGAGCCTCCGCGTTACGCCCGGACACAAGCTTCCATGCCGAGAGCCTCTTCTGGTAACTGCAGGAGAAAGCGGTCCCCGTAACTGGGGAGCAGGGGCCCCGTCCTAACACGTACCCTCATCTCGCCAGCAATCTCGGGTGTCTGCAGTAATTCAAGGGACAGCCTGGAGTAACTAGAAACCATTTCTGGAGGAAGGCCTTTGAAACATCAAACCGAAGACATCAGTCAACAGACCTCCCTGCCTTCGCTGATCCTGGCCAGTTAACGGAAGCTGACTGCTCAGGTAACACACCGTGAAATTCTGGCCGCAGAGGACACCGGACGTTAATTGTGTTTCATGAAACTGCACCACCAGTGGCCAACCTGAAGAAAATAGTTCACGGTTGGGTTTTCCTTCTGTGTTTAGTCATGGAAGTGGCGTCACCGGGCCTGGGACGGGAGACACGTTCTCTGCCTGATGTTTGCCGCCTCCCCCCCGCAGTGCAATGTGGTCTGTGCGTCGCAGGGGTGATCAGCGGTTCATTTTTAACCCTAACGGATGTCCACAAAGATTATTCTCTCCGTTCTGCTAAAACCCAAGCCTTAATTATCTCGGTGCCTAGAGGCCTGGTGGTCCAGCGGCAAATACCACAGAGCTTTCTTTTTCTGAAAATGATTTTCGTTCTAAAAGGACATTTCTTCCATGAGTGGGATAGGCTCTTGGCCACGCTAAGTATCTCTCGGGGACAAGCGTCTGGGGGGAGCCTGTCGCCCTCAGCTGGGGTGCACCCCAACACCCGGTGTAGAGGCCGTGAACGGGGGCGGCGGGGGCAGCTGAGTTTTGGGGGCGACGGGAGAAGAGCCGGGGGACGTGGGCTCACCCTGGTTTGCTCTGTGCAGAAAGCTCAGGAGGGCAGGAGTCCAGCCGCTGTTTGCTGCAATGGAGGAAGCGATCCTGACCGTTGCTTTTTCTCCTGGAACTTTTCTAATCAGAATGGATCTTGCTGTCAGGAAGGCTAGAGGCCATCAGAAGTGAGCTATGGGGAAGGTGATTTCCTGGACAGGCAGACCGGTGGAGCCCCGTGCACTTGGACTTTTTCTTTTTTTTTTAGTCTAACAAGAATCAATATTTAAGATTATGCAATGTCCATACCAGCCCGAAGTAGCTGCCAAGCCAAGGACAAGGGCTGGATAATTTACAATGCAAGGAATCCATTCTTTTTGCGAGGGGGAAGGGAAAAATCAAGATTTAAGCTTCTTATCCTGGGCTGAACTTTTCTCCTCCATTCTTAATGGCACCAGACGTAAATAAACCATCCATTTCGTTTTGTATGAGCAGTCTACGCTTGGCACACACTCGGAGGCAACGACAGGCCCGTCTGAGATCCTCGACCCCCACAGGCCTGGGCTACAACCACCTTGACAACAGCAGCTGTTTACACGTTTCTGACTCACAACCCTTTGGTCCTTTGGCCCGAGCCACACCTGCTGTTGGGTTCTGCCCCCACGACCAGCAGAGAAAGCCCTTCTGTTGTCAGCTGCTGATGGTTCCCGGTCCCGTATTTTTAACGTGAAGATGAAATATTTATAAATGCCTCGTCAACAGCATCCCATAGCCGGGCCCTCCTGAAGCCGCAGACGTGGGCTGTGCTCACTCGCAGGATGGCGGGGGTCGCGGGCCGGGGGAGCGGGCAGCGGCACTGTGGACGGACCTGGGCCACTATTTACAGGCCGGGGCTGGTTCTCAAAAGCCTGCCTCCGGTCCTGGGCCAGTTTCCTCTGTCTGCAGTGACTGGAGTCCCGGCCTCCACCACCCCAGGGCCGACCTGCCGGGAGCCTGGACACCGTCTATCCCAGTGGGAGGGAGCCACTTCCCGCCGCCTGGAAGTGAAGGACAGAAGACGGGGTTGGAGCCAAGAAGCAATGGGGCCTTGCACGACACTTTCCTGCCTCCCACGGGGTGGGGGTGGCATCGTGCTGGCTCCCGAGGGAAAGGGCTGGGGCCCGGGCGCCTCCATGGGTGCTCCCCCAACCCCAGCCGCTCTCCCACCCACTTCTCTCCCGTCTTCACTCCTCCAGAATTGGCGTTGACGCGGACGTTATGGGCGTCTCTGCCCAGAAGGCAGGTGGCCTGCTCTTTACTTTCTGACCTCTGGCCGACAATGCACAGCTGGCTTCCTATGTGGCAAGCGTCCGTGATCTCAGGGCCGACTGTCCAGACAGCAGGACGAAGCCCCAAAGCAGGGGCTGCACGGAGGGGTGTCAGAGGTGGGGCTCTGAGGGGTGCACAGGCTCGGCCTCACGAAGGGGTGGCATTCCCGGTGACAGCGTGGGGCCGGGGGGTGTTGGGAGCTGGGGACGGCCAGGGTGACCGTGCCAGGGTGACGGGCTGTGCAGCCTGGCTGCTATGCTGCGGGAGGCCTTGGTGGGAGCCAGCAGTGGGTTTCAGACAGGAGTGTGTGGCCTGTGGAGTTCTGAACAGTCTGGTCACTGTGGGGACAGGCTTGAGGGGCCAGTGTGGCAGATGGTGAGCTGGCGTGGAGCGGGGGCAGGGCAGCCAGGGAGCAGAGCCAGGAGGCCGCCGCGGGGTGGACAGACGGATGCTGCAGACACCTTGGGAGACGGAGGAGAATCCACACCAGCTGCTCCTCATACGTCGGCTTGGGGAACCCTCTTCACGAGCCTCTGAGCGCCCCGGCAGGGGAGAGTGCCACCCCCCCAACCCCCCGTGCCAGCCAGACCTCTTGGTCCAGAGATGGCGAGCAGGGAGGGCCTAGAGCCAGGAGCCAACCAGGCACAACGTGGGGAACGCGATACGGCTCTCGGGGACTCGGCTCTCCTGCCTGAGAAGCGGGAGCGCTGAGACTTGCTGATGGGATGGTAGGGGTCAGTGCGCTGGGACAGAACCCCAGGTGACACACCGGGATGGGGCACGGGGGATGACACAGAGGCGGAGACGGCCTCGGTGTGCTCCCCCAGCGCTGGACACAGAAGAAGCCACGTCCTCGTGCCACCGTGAAGCCTGGACAGGAGGACAGGGGCTCGGCTGTACGCGTGACTCCCAGCCCAATACTCTGTCCAGACATCCAGGCCGCGCTGGGCAAGTCCCACACCCCCCAGCTGCCGCTGGTTTGGAAGAAAGCAAGCGAGGGCCAAAGTAGCCTGGCCCACTCTTCTGCCCTGAACTTTCCTCCGTGCTGTGCAAAGGGCAGAAAGGAGGAAAGTCCACCTCCCTTCCCGGCGGTGCTGCTGACCGGGAAAGGCTCAGAATCCAGGCCGTTCTCGGGCTGCTCACGGGCATGAGCTCACCGAGCAGCTCCACCCGGCCCAGCCCCCAAAGTGGGAAGCCCCCCAACTGTCTGCCCACCTCTTGGGACTGCGAGTTTCCACGAGATGAATAACGTCTGGACAGAGGCTTTGCACACTGTAGAGTGCTGCCTATGCTTGACTACTATTCTCGTTCCCACACGTGAGTGATGCATGGGGCTTTCTTCGAGCGCCTGGGATCGGGGCGACCACATCCTTCCTCAAAATGGGCCAGATGACATCCACACGGAGCTGGCATAAACGTCTGGACATCCAAACGGGTCTGGACCCCCAGTGGGCAGTGATGCTGCCCCAGCGGATGGCAAACACTGAGAAGGAAAGGCCCCTTCTTGGGTCTCCTGTGTGGCCCCCCCCCCCCCCCCAATCAGCAAGGGCAGGACAGGAACGCACAGCCGTGGACCACAAATCTCCAGGTCTCCGAGAGGACAGCGAGAGGGCCAAGCCACTGGCACTAACGGTGACACGCTGACGCGGTGGCATTGATCATCACTGAGACACAACTGCAGGCCATCCGCGGGGAGACACAAAACGAGCCGAGCAGCGGGGGAGGACACGCATC